TCATTCACTCATCACCGCATTAATTAGGTTTGATTGGTTGATGATATTTTACTCTATAATTAACAAATAKTAGTGCACTTGACTTACTTGAGTTAACACATTACCTTATATGTTGAGCTTTATTTGATAGACACTTGTGATTTATTCATGGAGTCTTACCTATTAGTGCCACATAGACATATGTAGTTCTATACAAATTTCAACAATTGACAATTTTCAAACAAAAATCTAATTTCAACTTAAATAAGACAAAACTATAGATACTCATCAGATATCTTACCATTTAAATTTGTATTTGAAGAAATTGTGACTAATAGCAGCTTAATTGATAATACTATTTTAATTTGTTCTTTTCATTTTCTAACATCATTATTCTATGTAATGAAAATTTTGTACGTTTTAGGAAGTTAAGGAGGTAGTTGGACCATTTTTTTTTTGTTTTTTTTTATGTATTTTGATGGTGAGATCCCAACCATAAACTATATTACTTTTAAAAAAGAAACCAATTTAAATGATTTTTTTTTCAAAACGAAGAAAATTAATATCTGGCTGATAGCTCCATAAGTCATTAGGTTGTCTCCCCTTTAATAAATGTGGGGCCTTTTRTTGAAAAGTCATAATTTATGGTCATCCAAAATACATATACCATGGAAGAAAATGACCATATTTTTGGACTTTTTAGATTMGGTTAAAGTAATCCATGCTCTTCATAATTATATTTAAAAACTAATTGCCAATAATTTATCTTTTCATGAAAGAAGTTTAGGGTATTGCAATATTTTAATCCTTAAACATATATCATGAAAATTTTGTGGTTTGTTAGGGAATGATTTTTTATTCCTAGAAAACTATTCTTTTTAGAACAAAAACATATATATATTTTTTTGTTTGTTTAAGTGACCTCTTTTGTCTTCTTTTTTTTTTCTATAAAATTAAATAAAGTTAAACTAATATAAAAAATTATAAAATAGGTTTAATTTAAAATCGATTATTTAAGTAMYTGATTGGTTTTGACTGTATTCTCTAAACATTGCAGCTCAAATGYGAAAATTTGGTGAGCATGAACAGTCCAAAACCTTTCTTATCGACACACTCCAGAGAGAGTAATTTTATTCTCATTAATTGATCAATTCATATAGAGTTATTATGAAATAAAACTTATGTCTGATAGGTGGATTGGCGAGTTTGTTTATTTCAATAGACTATATTTCCTCACCTCTCAAACTATATCCCTTRCTTTTACAAAGCAAAAAACTAACTAAATACCAACTAATTAAATAAATTCAAGTTTTCTATAACTCATTGCTCTTGACAATCTAAATATCTACAAAAGAATTTAAGGTAATATCTTCTTCCCATTATGGTGGTAGAAAGCAAACCATTGGTTGGACTCACAAGCTAACTAGAAAACACATGGGTTTTTTTTTTCATTTAAAATTTAAAATGGGCCAAGGATCAAGTTGTTTGGTTGTGGAGTCCAAAATGAAATGTAGCTGGAAGCCCATAAGAAGCCCAATAKAGAAGAGAGTCTACCAGAACCATGAATAGTATTCTCAATTCTTTTCTTTTATGTTTTGTTATTGCATGTTGAATTTAAAATTTAACACCTTCGAATTCCAAACACAACCCACTACAAATCTTTGTTTAAGATTTTTTTAATTGGTTGAAAAGAAATGTATGTCATAAGCATGTGCTAGGAGAGAATAATTTCTTACAATTTAGGGCGAAGGAGGCCCTTTATTGATATATCAATATAATTAATGACAAAACTTAAAAGGAAAAAATTTCTTTGATTACTAGACAAGAATGTTTATGCCTTGTGTTATTTAATTAATAACAAGTATTTTCATCCTAGAACATAAGCATAACTTGACACTAACTAATATCTTTTTTTTTTTTTTTTTGTCAATTCTCACACATTTATTTTACTAAAAAACAAAATTCTTCATTCCACRTCTCCCATTTGAATGATTTAGTGTTGAATAATGGAGCCAAGACAAATTACTCATGTCCTACGAGGAAAAGTTTTTCAACAATACTACGAATTTCTACCAGGATATTTTTTTATCTTATAAGATAACAATATTCTTATCCTATAAAGATTAGGATATTTGGCTTCCTATAAATAGAGTCATTTTCGTGSGTGAAAAGACGTGGGTTTAGTGAGGGTGTGGTAGCGCAGAAAGTTCAGATCGAGATCATTGTTTTAGATTTTTTGTGAGTTTTTTATTCATGTACTAGTATAAATTCTTATGTAGTTTATTGCTTTCTCAATCTCTTTTTATTTGTGTTGTGTGATTCTGAATTACTGAGAGGAAATTGTTTTGGAGATCTAATTTCCTAAATGTCCAAAACATAAAAAAAATAAAAAAATCGAAGAATCGAACCATAATTTTTATCCCTACTGAAGAATCATGCCCTTCTCCAATATAGTCCATTAACTATATTTCTTTAAAATTTCGAAAAACGAAATGTAATCAATAGCATCCATTTTCTATATATCAGTCTASATTACTACTTTTCTTAGTCTAAAATTCAAGTTTAATTAATAAAATCGAAATTTTAAGAGYTATAGAAACTAAAAGATTACACAAAAAGTTGGGAAGATTTGGATAATATTTTTTAAAATTAAGAAACACAAACACAATTTGTAATATCAAATCATAATCTTCTTTTAAAGTACGAGGCAACCTAACAATATTTGTTGAAGATGTGAATTTCGATCCCTGATTCCCTATCTACACTATTAAAAGAGTACAAATAAATATTTTATTTGAAAGAAGAAAATATAAAATATAATTAAATTATAGTTAACAAATCTATTGCCAAGCGGCGGCCGCCCTCAAACTCACGAATCGGAGTCTTTTGAATCAGCGTCGCTCGTAGTCGTAAGTCGTAACACAAAAATTGGATATTGTGAAGGCTGCGGATCCCAACTCCCAACTCTTCCATTTGACTCACCCCAAGTTCGCATTCGATCCGGTCCGTTTTTCGCATACTTGTTTCAGTGTTTGCATATTCTATCAATCAGATCTTGCACTTTATCATGTTCTATCAAACTGGATCTTGTGAAATGCATCCCTTATTCTTGTTTCTTTTCTTCTCTTATTTGCGCACTGATTTTTCTCTGTTGGTTTCTTCTYTAATTATTCGGTTGGAGACCATGATTTGAGTCAATTGGGATCCTTGCGCCTTGTTTTCTCCTCTGGATTGCTCGATAGTATATTCTGTTCTCCTTTCCTTCTTTGTTCAACGAGTTTTAAATTTTCAGCAAAAATTCCTACGACAGAATCTCTCTTTTTCAGGAAGGCTTGATTCTCCGTATTGGATTCTCTCTTGCAAAACAACAGATCTCTTTCTTTTCAATTTGTTTCTGCCTCTTTTTGTTGCTGTTTTGTGTGAATTTATTAGCTGGTGGTATGAAAAAAATCAGGACATATAGCTGTTAGCTCAGTGCAAACAAAGTCCCAAGTTGGCTAAATAAGGGGAAGATAATGGGATATAAAATGGGACAACATCTCTGAGGAAAATTGGAAATGTGGAGAATTGGTTGTCCCTAAAAATATGAAGTGTCTTCTAGAACTTATCCCTATCAACAATTTCTGCTGTGGTATTCTTAAAAAGAAAAAGGAAAAAGAAGTCCGATACATTTTCAAATTGTGTATTGTAAAAGTTTTGAGAGTGGCTTCTGCATTTATTGTGTTGGAAGSATTTTGATTTCTCTTCTATTGGTGGATTTATGCTTATCTGAAAGATTGGCTAGAATTTTATGAATGAGACTAAAATTGGTGAAGTAAACTTTTGATTTGGTGTATAATTTGGTGTGTTATTTCTGTTTTGTTTGGTTACTGGTATCTCGATTTTAGGTTTGCTTTGTGACCACTTGCTAAACAGTAAGCATTCTTGCCAAGAGCATACATATGTGCGTACTCAGGAAGTTAACTTAGTCAGATTTTGGAGATCTTGAATTGTGATTGTGAAGGTGCACTACCAAGTCTTGTCTCTGTTAGACTGACAAGACCCCCATATTGATGCATTTAGGATATGATTTTCTTTTTCAATAGAGTGCTAGCTAATGGGATATCGAAACCTTGTGATCTAAAGCAGTGTCTTTTAAAGCACAAAGCATAATGGAACATAATAGCCTTCTTGTAGTGACGCGCACCATATATAAAACGTAAACACAATGAGGATATGGATTCATTTTTGGTGTTGTATCTTTTCTTCTTTATGAACCTTAAATTGCAAGGATATACTCTTGATATTTTCTTCTGTTGTTGCTTTTGTTTTAAAATCTGATCAATAAAGAAGAAAGAGAGAGATATCTATTTGTATTATTTTGTATCACAATGAGAACTATTGACCTGTTATTACTGCACAAGAGAAATCTTTATTGTCTTTCTATTATTGATGGATTAATTGTTAGTTCGAAAGTTGTAAAAATGTGTAGTTGGCTGTTACAGAATGGGTACAGGAGGAGGAGCTCCGCAGAGAGGAAGTGCAGCCGCTACTGCAAGCATGCGCAGGAGGAGATCGACGAGTAGTTCTGCTACATCTGGAGGGGCATCTGGATCGATGCTTCAGTTCTATACAGACGATGCTCCAGGACTGAGGATATCCCCAAATGTTGTTCTGGTCATGAGCATTGGTTTCATAGCTTTTGTTTCTATTCTCCATGTTATGGGGAAGTTGTACTTCGTACGAAGAGAAGCTTAGAAGGAATTTTTCTTCTCATTAGAAAACTTTTTCTGTCGCATACAAAACTTTTTCAGTGTTGTGTTGATTTTGGAATTTTGAACTAGATCGTGTTTGGTAAATTGGAGGCCTTGATATCCATACAAGAGGGTAATATCTTTTGATGAGATATCAACCATATGATCTTAAACTTACTTTGCAGTTAATATTTATCTATCTTGAGATATATGTTGCACAGATAGTTTTCTCCACAAGTAACAGAGACATTATTCCTGGTTGATTCTACTCTTTTATTTCAAACTTGTATTAAAGATAGATTTTGAACTCACGTGGGGTGAACTTATTTTTAAGCTTTGAAAGCACAATTGTCTAATAGAGTTACCAACCAAATATTTAGTTTATTCTAAAATAATATTAATTATTTTATTAACGATTATTATTTTATAATGTATTATATTATATTTTACATTTTTTTAATCTTAACAAAAAAATTAAATGTGCTTAAAAAATAAAACAGTTTTTCGAAATACCAAACAGCCCCAAATAACTCTCTTTTTTCTTAATTTATTATTTTCACACCCTCCACCTCTCTGACTCTCTCTATCTTGGCACAGGGGACGAGATGTTTTTTTCCCTCTTATTGGTAATTAAACCTTTTTTTTCCTCTAAATATAAGGACTAAATGGTAATTTAATTTTAATTTCTTTAAAAGAAAAATAGAAAACGCAAATGTCGTATTAAATATGACGTGGATAGCAGGTATTGGTTGAAAAGGTCAATTACAGTATACGCGTCAAAATCTATAAAATTGTGTTATGAACGCAAAAAGTTCTTCCTCAGATTACATTCGATTTTTTGGAGGCTGCTGATCCAACTCTTCAATTTCGCTCACCCAAGTTCGTCTTCGTTCCTCTCTCTCTGTAGTTTTTATATCCGCATCTTCTTTTGCATCTGCATGTTCTATAACCAGATCTTGTTCTCGATTCGGAAAACTTCTTCCATAGAATTAAACAATTTAGGGTTTGACTGTATTTTCTTTAATGGTCCTTTTTTTGTGTGTGAAAAATGTTGTTCCTGCCTTTTGTGTCTTCTAAATTTTGGATGATCGGCAGATCTAAACGTTGCTAGATATTAATTTAAAGAGGGAAATTAGTGTGAAGAAGTTTATAGGAAATTGCTCTCAAATCTGGGTTCTCTGCGCTTTGTTGTGTTCTTCTGGGTTACCTTGGGCTATTATTTTCGACTTATATTTTTGCTCTTCGACAAGCTTTGAATTTACAGAATAGACATCTAGAACAGAAATCCCTTTTTTAAGGTTCGATTGGCCCTTCGATCTAGATTTTCTCTTGAAAAACAACAGATCTCCCTCTCGACTAATTAGAATCTCCCTGCCCCCATTATTTCAATTTGTTTCGTCTCCTTTTTTATGCTGTTTGGCGTGAATATAGGGCGGATGTTATGACAAATTGGAACTTACAGCTTTCCAGTGTCTTTTGATATATTATTCTCAAATTGTTTTTCCTCATGTGAAATATTGGGTGTTCGCAATTTATGGGTTTCTGACTATCTGTGGAAGGGTTTGTTCTCTTCGATTTGCATATTTCTGCTTCTTAACTCATGCAGATCTAGGATTGGCCAGAAATTTATCTTCAAGACCAAAATGGGTGCAATGATCTTTTGATTTCATGCATAACTTTTTGCATATTGCATTAATGATTTGTAATTTTTCTTTCTTCCTTCGCGATTATGGAAAGCAAATGAGTTAGATGCAAATCATCAAAATTTTTATCTCAAGTTATGCAGTATGGTCTATTAATTTGTTTCRTTTGTCTCATTTTGACGTTTGCTCAAATACTTTTAGTACTGGGAACTTTTTGTTACAAAAGCCCATATTCTTAGTCTCATTTTGAGGGTTGTTCGAATTTTTTTAATTACTGGGAACTTTTTGTTACAAAGGTCCACATTCTTGATTTCGGGAGTTTTAAATTGTGATGGGTGCTGTACTTTGTATGACTCTCAGACATACGAAGTACAGCTATATATATATTTGATAGAATGTTAGATAATGAGGTATCCATATTTGTGATTTGAGGAATAAGTTCCATAATAAAACAAAAAAATAGGGAAGAAAATGAAAATTTAAAAGTCTAACTTTCATCTCGCCTGCAATGTATTATTTGATTCAGAAAGGTTCAGTAAAGGATGCRTTTAGTTTTCTTTTCATCTATTTTGATGATTCAGTCTAAACTTGGAAGTTCTAAGTTTTTTTCGCTCTTTATCATCACAGAATGGCGCTAGGTGGAGCAGCTCCCCAGAGAGGAAGTGCAGCAGCTACTGCAAGCATGCGCAGGAGAAGGACGACGAGTTCTGGTACATCTGGAGGGGCAGCTGGAACAATGCTGCAATTTTACACGGATGATGCTCCTGGGCTCAAGATATCCCCTAACGTCGTTCTTGTCATGAGCATTGGTTTCATAGCTTTTGTTGCTATTCTCCATGTTATGGGTAAGCTGTACTTCGTGCGAAGGGAAGCTTAGTGGGTTTTTGCCCTTGATGTCATGTGATGAATATTTAAATCCRATGTGATAAAAGTTTAATTTTAATCTGAATTCTGGTCTGTCATTACAGTAAACTGATTTTCGACTTGTTAGTTTTTAGAATGAAAGAGTTGGTTTTGTTCTGGTCTAAATCTGCTTGCTACCACCCTACAACCTGTTTGTGGTTTCTAGGAAGATTGTGACAGCTGCGTATTGCATCGTGGTATTTAAGCACGATAAGATGAAAAACCTTCTGGTTAACTCTATAGCACAGGGAATTAGGTTTGTTGTGAATGTGACACATTCTGGAAGGGGTTTGAATTGAAATACAATAACGTGTAATGCTTGCGTGATTCGACTGCAAAGCACGGTCTCACTTGGTTTTCTCTAAAATATTCTCGTTACAATTAGGTGACACCTCATCCATATATGTACGTATGGTTGATGAGCAAAATAAAAGAGACGGTTATTAACACAGTTGTGGTTTCCGAAACAAAAAACGAGGGGAGAAGATGAAAGAACCCTTTTATACATCTCAAGCAAAAGCGACTGCTTGCACAGAAGTGGCTTTAGCCAGGCATCAAGGTGAGATTCGAAATCATATTGAACTTTTAATTGAGCAAAATATGCTATTTACAAGGTCATTAGATAAAACCATTCAGCATTAACTACAATCGTTAGATGGGAATAAATACTCTGTACATTACACTGGCAAGTATACTGAAGAAATACTCTGTACATTACACTGGCAAGTATACTGAAGAAGTTAGTGAGCGCTGTCAGGTACCCAATTCTGAACCATGTTCTCATCTGCGGATTTGGGGCCACCGCAGGATCTGGAGACCGACTCGAATAGTCTTTCAATATCTGGTGCACATCTTATGAAGGATCGGTTCCAGAAGTTATATCTTGGATTCTGAAAATATATAAACATGCTCTCGCTTACAATGAAAATTTTTATCAAGTAAGAACTCAACAATCAGAGGTAATAATCGTGGCAACAGTTAAAAAATGATAATATGTAGAATGAATAATATGGTAGCCGGTAGGATCTTTACCTTAATAAGTTCGATGAATGTAATCAGTAGACCCCATGGATGAGGTCGATTAACAATGAGACGTTCCAACAACACTCTTGTTATCTGCTCCTGGATAATTTCCTGCCCATGTTCCAAGAACAATTTTAACTAAATGTCCCATATTAAGATCCAATGACAGTTCCAGCAGGCAAAAGTGTACAAAAACGAACTGCAAACAGATAACATACCTGATTTGATTCCGCAAACAAGTACAAGAGGACAAAAGAAAAGTAATGTGTGTGGGTATTTGGATAACGAAGTTGGTTTGCAACAGCATTGAGGAAGAGGTAGCGCCCTTCAGTATCCAACTCAATAATCAGAGTCTGGAAAATGTCCAGAGCAGCTCCCACCAAGAATACTGCTAATGTAACAGTATTACCGGTTGATTGCGCATGAGAACTTCTTGCTTGAAGCTGCTGTATGGCCTGAACAACAATCATAAAAAATAAGCATGCAAATTCAAGCTTTCACAATGCATAAAAAACATGTTAGCATCTTTGAAGTTCAAAATAGCATATGGTTTTTTTTTTTAAATATCCGTGAGTGTCCAGACTAGCTTGAACACCTCAACTAATCTCACAGGACAACCGCCATATCCAGTTGCCAAAGTAACTCGTAGAATATTAAATCCTAGATAGATGGTCAACCATAGTTTGAACTCATTCCATCTAAGATCTATACTACTTACCTTTTTTATGGACCACTATGACCAACCCATGATGGTTTCAAGACAGCACATGATTCAAAAACCACAAAAGCGGGGAGATGCTAGAAATTGATTTATGTGCTTACATTGTGCCAAAAGGAAAAAATAAATGAGGGAATGAGTATTTCAAGTATTTCATTGATGAATGAAATATTACAGGAGGGTAAAACCCCAAGAACCCAAAAATGGAGTTAAAAAAGATAATCCATTTGGCCAAAAGGAAAAAATTGAAGCATAATATTTGAGACAAATACAGAATGATAAGAGGAAAAAGTTTTGACACTTCATGCTCATAATGCAAACCAAAGAGCTAATACAAAGAACAATATGAGTATTTGCCAACCAAAGAGCTAATACAAAGAACAATATGAGTATTTGCCAACCAAAGAGCTAATACAAAGAACAATATGAGTATTTGCCAGAGACGATCACAAGTAAATTGCAGGATGAAAGATGGTAGAAAGCCAAGTACCTGCATCCCAACGTAAAGTACAAGGGAATTGATCAAAGGCACATTGTAACGGGTCCCAGCAGAAGCAGCTTCACTTGAAGGAAGTAGCAATTTCTGCTTCAAATCAACCAAAAACGAGGATCCCTGTTGCCTCGTCTGCAGAGAGCAGAAAAAAAAAAGAATTATGAGAAAGGTAAAGAAGACGTAGTTGAGGAAAATATAGCACACTAAAACAGTGGAGTTAAAACAGAAGAGAAAAAACGAAAGCTCCAAATAAGCGAGGAGAAATTTTATTTAAGAATAATATTGAACTTCATTTACAAAAGAAAAAGGAATTGACTATTGTGTTCCTATTTTATTTGAACTCAGATATGTGAAACCAATCAATTCGTTTCGCAAGCATAAATAGTGAAGGCCAAAAATAAAATACCTTGAGAAATTCATCCACATCGGCCTTCATCTGCTTTGATTTAAGAGCTCCATCCACCTCCGAGAGAATGCGAGGGGATTGATTGATTTCCGCAAGCAAGTCAATCTGCATATGATGGAATATTTTCAATATGTCATAATTTATTCCATGACCAAAATGTTTACGAGAATGTAATGTGCAGATAAGACCTTCAAGTTGGGAGTAGATGGATCTGGAAGTCTCATGTTACGAGGAAACGCACTAAGGATGATATTCCGCATCTGAATGCAGCTAGGAGGAATCACATCACAGAAAGTAAAATGATAGTCACATAGGAACTCAGGGAAATCATGAAGTAACACTAGCAACACCCTTAGAGTGCCTTTATATAGAAAATGAACCTGCAGAATTAGATGAAAGAAAAAATAAATACCACAGTACAAAAAAAAACATTCTGCCAGTAATAAGTCTGAAGAATGAGCAGAGCAAACCGGTGGTCCAAGTTCAGCATTCCGCAAAAATGGCTCCATGAATTGAAACATGTCTACCAGCAAACGCTGGATGTAAGGCCAACCCTTCTGACTATTCCCAGTAAGCATCTTTGGCATGAAACTTCTATGACTAACCAACTCAAGCCAAGCATAACTGGTGAAAGCATCGACCAGCATTAAATACATACAATAATAGAAAATAGAAGAGAAAAACATCTCTTTGCAGCCATGGAGACGCATCTGTATATATAACCCACAATYGTTATTGCATATTAATTTTGTTAAAGATGTTGCAACCTAATTGATTGTGCGTACCCCAATTTTTGCATTAAATAAGATTATTGGTGCAGAAAAATAATACCAATAAAATAAAGGCAATTGCTAGCTTTCACTCTTGAGAGTTGGTACTGCTAAAGATCTAATTCAAAATCTGATTTCCTATCCAACGTTATTGACACTAACCTGAATGCTGGAATCTTAAGAGGGTGCAACGCATGAAATGCATTAGCAAAAGCTGTCAATATCTGCATCATGGTAACCCTCACAGTTAAGATTATTCATTAAAGAAAGAGAAACAAAATATTAGCGCCAAATGATTCAGACCTGAAAGTTGGCACCATCAACAATAGGTTCTAGAGACCCAAGGTCAGGAAGCCAGTTAATAAACAATCTAAAATACGGTCTTGGATTAAATGATGCTTTCTTCTCCTCAGCATCTTTCTGAATGAATCTTACTGTCACTGACAGAATCTGAACCATGCAGCATAGAATTACTAAGTCACGAAGAAGTATGCAAAACATAAACAAGGCACAAATTACTTCTATAGCTCATTACCCTTGATAAGAGAGCAGTTTTACCAGACCCCTGAAAATAAAATAATGGAACACGTGAGATGCAAATTAGCATCATAAAAGAAAACATGMAGTGCATGAAACAAATGTCCGTCCATGAGAATTACAAAAGAAAAAAAAAATCCAAAGGAGCCAAAGAAGCAGATGGGACAATATTTTATSAAGGCGTATGTATACTCACCTTCAAGATGGAAAATACAAGCTTGGCATAAATGTCAATTGCAAGGAAAGATAAATTCTGTACTTGCTGTGGTGATTGTAATGCACCCGAGTTAATTACTTCAGATGATAAGCAATGAGCCACAGAAAGTTCCTAAATTGACAAGCATGCAGTGAGTCGGCAAAACAAAAATGTGATCCAATGTGAAACAGACATTTCTTCCAAAAAAATTTTAAGCATACCGTGAGAAGACGGAAAAAACGATCAGTCATATCATCCCCTTTCAGAAGTCCATTCTGATGTAATTGTAATATGAAATGGTTAGATGCTGCTTCATTAGCACCAGGCAGCTCACATATTCGGTACCATTCAGCAAATAGCATTGACACCTACAAGAGTCCATTGAAACTTTGAAATCAAAACGTACAGACGTGTCTCATCTAAAAAGGTTAAGTAATCATTAGTGTTACAACCAACATACTCCATCACTCACTGTCTCCATGAAGTAACAAGTTTTTGTCCCAACATTTTATAATATTTTGATATGGCAGATATTGAGCCAAGATTTTCGGGTAAAAAGCAAAATGGACATCTTTCAATTTAAAATGAGAGGAGTAGGAAAATCGAAGACAAGTGATAATATATAGAGCAAATAAGAAGCATTTTTTTTTCTTTTCCTGGGCCTTAGAATGGAGTATTTCGTGTAAATTTCTCTCTCACGATTAGACCTGTTTACATACAAAACAATCAAGAACAATTATGCATCTTTTTGGGATGGTCAGATTCCAAAGGGGCAAAGCCCAAAAATGGATCAAAGACCAGACAAGTCACGACATGGATACAATCATACATAAGCTAGGACATGGTCACGGCAAGGGAACATATATCAAAATATAATTATTTTAATATACATGATTATTATATACATTTCAATGATGTTCACATCAAACATTTGGTTCAGTTTATGATATTCTCGTACGAAAGACCATGGAAAAAAAAGTAAT